CTCTCTCTATTCTGCATTTTCCTCTCATCTTCTTTGTCACGGATGACTGCTTCTTCTCTTTCTCTTTCCGATATATAGTCACCGGCGACCGACTACTACTATCGATTGGGATTCACTGGCAACCACCAACTGTCGACTCCTTACTTTATCCTCACTGACGGTAAAGAAGATATGTTTTTGACAAAGAAGATGAGTAGATCTACTCAGATTTGATGTAGATCTACATCAGATCTGAGTAGATCTACATCAGATTTGGCTAGATCTAAACAAAAAATAGTTGCCGGAGTATAACCCTATCTCTATATCCGTCTTTCTCCTTCGATCTCTTATTTTTTTTCTACATTTTTTCTGTTATACACTTCTCTTTTTCTATTCTAATGGAGAAAATTTTCAAGTTCTGAACAAGTTGTTTTCGAGTTTTAGTTACAGGCGGTGAAAACTGTAAAATTTTACAGTTTCAAATTTTTTTGTTGCTGGAATGAATCATGGTTAAAATTGTAAAATTTTGCAGTTTCAAATTTTTTTTGTGCTGGAATGAATAATGGTATAAAACTGTAAAATTTTACAGTTTCATAACATTCTTTAGAACTATAAAATTTGACAATTTCATAACATGTTTTTCAGTTTGATTAATAAGGATAAATGCTTAATAGATTTTTGCTTTGAAACTATACCATTTTACAATTTCAAAACTTACTTTTCAGTTTGATAAATATTGGAGATTATTTGCTTAAACCTTACAAAAATTGAAAAATAGTATATGTTTTTCCTATTGTTGCTGCGCTTTTTGTCGTTTCATTTTTTTTTCTATTAGTTTATCAATATTTAGCACATTTTGCTATGTTTTTTCACTCTAATTTCTCCATTTATTTCTTTTTTTCCCGACAATATTCTAGACATTCCGGTGAGTCTCCAGTGATGTTCTTAACGTCCAGTGAACGTTCTGAACATTCCGGCGACTTCCATTAACGTTCTTAACACTCCGGTGAACTTCCGGCGATACTTCGGCGACTTCCCGACGATACTTCGGCAACTTCCCGGTGATGCTGAACATTCCGACGAGTCTCCGGTGACCGTTTGACGGAAGTCCTACAGTAGTAAGATGTAACAGTGTATAAATTAAAAAAAAATAATAATAAGATTTTTTGGTAACAATTAAAAATGTATAGGACTAATTGGTGCAAGTGTTTTGTTTGAGGATTAGATGGATCTTAAACTTTGTATATGAGACTTATTGATAAGTTCCCTATAAAACATATTATAACTAATACCAAACCAAATTAAACTCTTTTAATAAACTAATTGGGTCCCATACTCCAATAAGGAGGTATACCCAACACCTAGAAGGCAAAATTTTAGATCATTGTGTGAGAGGTCAAGAGTATAGAGGTTTGAGAAAGGCGACAGAGCCAAATCTCTTCTTAGCCTCTTCACCGAAAAGAAAAAGAAAAAAAAAGAAAAAAGAAAGAAAAAGAAAAAAAAAACAAAACAAAACAAAGCACCATCGTCTTGGAAGCATTACAAAGTGAACTAACTACTAAGGATCTGAACTCGTGAAATTGTATAGACAAATTAACTGTTTACTGTGTAATTCATTGGTAAAACAAATATTGTTAAGGTAAGTTGTACTATGTTGCTTTTAAATTTTACCCTTTTTCTTTTTATTTTATTTTAAATTTTGACTCTTAATATATATATATCTATTTGTATATATGTGAGCATTTAAATTGGTGTCTTGAAACTTTTTCTCTCTTTATATCAAGTGTTCAGTTATTCGTAAAAAAATAAATTAAAATAACATGATGGGATAAGAGTTGAACTTGACCATAAAGTTAACAAGAAAAACTCTTACTAAGTGAAGTTACAACCAATATATGTTAAATATTTTATTTTATTTTTATTTATTTAATTTAGAACACGCATTACGTGTACTAACTGCTAATATATATATATATATATATATTTACTTTGATCCTTAGTGTTTGAAATTTTACTGAATTTATTCTTAAAACAAACTTTCTTTCAATTTTGGATTAAAAATACCACGTTGGTAGTTAAGTGGCTCTACGTTGTGACATAAAAATAAATAAATTACACTTTGTCCCCCTTAAGTTTTATAATTTTTTACTTTGACCCTTAATATTTATAATTTTCGCAATTTACTCCCAAAACAAAATATCATCCGATTTTGAATAGAAAAATGCCACTTTGGTGGCCATGTTGCATAAAGTAAATCATATTTAAATTTGGTTGAGTTTTCATACCTTATTTTTTTTTTTTACTAAAATGGGCTTTGAATTTTCTTTAATTTTACAATTTGAGCTGTCAAGATATTGAAGATCGGTTAATTATTGAACCTAAAAGGTAAAATTTTAGATCATTGTGTGCGAGGTCAAGAGTAGAGAGGTTTGAGAAAGCCAAGAAAGCCAAATCTTTATTGGGATGAACAAAACAAACCTCCAATCCCAGAAAATATAACATGCTGAATAAAATACAGATAAAATATAAAATGGTTAAAGGAAGCAAACCGATGCCTGTGTGATACCACAGTCTCTTTAAAATAGATTCGCCACCTCACCATTGGGTGCTGGAGGTACGCCGGCGTTTACTTCCTAGGATACGACGGTTTTTACCAGCTACAACAGAAGCACCTTCTGATTAACTTAGCGAACTGACAATGGCAGCACTCTCTCTCAGGAAGAAAATTATAGGAGAAGTAGACTAACAGGGTATGAATGCCAAGAAAAAATTCTATCTATTTTTTTTTTCAATGAATAGGGCCTCCTTTTATACACCATGGGGGAGAGGGGAAGAGCCTCTAGCCATCAAGGCTGGCAACTAATGCTAGCAAAACTGCCCAATCAATTTTGTAAAACTGATGAGCCTTAAATGTGTGAGTTATATACACATTTATGAGGCAATTTCTCATTCAACCATTTTTCTCCAACAATCTCTTCTTAGCCTCTTCACCCAAAAAAAAAAAGAAAAAAAGAAAAAACAAAGCAAAGTGGCATTGTCTTGGAAGTACTATAAAATGCACTAACTACAAAGGATCTGAACTCATAAAAATGTATAGGCAAACTAACAATTAACTTTGTAATTCATTGGTAAAACGAACATTGTTAGGGTAAGTTGTGCTTTGTCCCTTTTAAGTTTTACTGTTTTTCTTTTCATTTCATTTCTTTTTTTCTTTGTTACAATATATATATATATATATATATACTTTGATCCTTAATGTTTGAAATCTTACTGAATTTATTCTTAAAACAAACTTTCTTTCAATTTTGGACTAAAAATACTACATTGGCAATCAAGTGGCGCCACATTGTGACATAAAAATAGATAAATTACACTTTGTCCCCTTAAGTTTTATAATTTTTTACTTTGACCCTTAATATTTATATTTTTCACAATTTACTCCCAAAAAAAAAATATCATCCAATTTTGAATAGAAAAATGTCACTTTGGTGGCCATGTTGCATAAATTAAATTATATTAAAATTTGATTGAGTTTTTAGAACTTATTTTTTGCTCTCTCTCTCTCTCTCTCCAATAATTAGAAACAAATTTGACAAAAGTAAAGAACTATTGTTGTAATTTACCCTTCTACCACTTCCAAAATTTGGCAAGAGCTCATCTCCTTATTTTTCTAATAATGGCCCTCACAAATGACATTTTATATTTGACTTTTTTTGTGAAGAAAATAGAACAATATTAGTTTAGGAACACATATCAACCAATCTTGTAAAATTATAAATTCCTAATTTTGATTATATATTTGGTTTATATATTCCTAATTTTACTGATAAAATAACCGAGTAGAGTAAAATTATAAATTTTTTAACATTACAACATATCAAAAATTAACTTCCATATTATCATTTTGATGACAACAATTGAATTGCTCTAAATAATTGTACTAGGCATCATATATGTATATATATATATATATTTTAAATTAATATATCATATTACAATAAATTAAATGAATTACACCACTGTAAAAATATAATACAATATATTATTAGTTTGAAAAAACATCTCAAAATAAAAGATAATACTTTTAAACAAATACTTAAAAAAAAGATTGGACTCTCTCCAGTTGGTTTTTCAACTGGACGGCCTATTTTGGGTACGTCTCGATGATCTAAACTGTTTGATGTGTAGAGTTTATCGAGTTCTTGATTCTTGTAAAAAAAATCATGATGATCAGATATCAATAGCCACTTGATCAGATCACATTTGTGCAAATAATTTATTTTTAAAATCATACTTAATATTGACACAAATTTAATTTGATTAAGTGACTATCGATATCTGATCAATGTAATTTTTTTTAGTGATGGAATACTCGATAAACCCCATACATTGAACAGTTCGAAATATCAATATAAACTTCGAGATAAATCCACAAAAACCCAACAACCATGCTTTAGTTTGATTTCAAACAACAAAAACAGTTGAGCCCTTAAAAAAAAATAAAACTAACATACATATCACAAAATTCATACTCCTAACAACTTGTTAATGTGGTAGGTTCTAATAATAGGTGTTAAAATGTATATTCATAGAGCCCCTTAAATTACACTAGTTGGACCATCTCTAATGGTTCATCAATTCTGTTATCAAATTTAAATTTGATAAAAAAATAATATTTTTTCTACTCTAATGAATTTATCAAATGAGTATCAAATCGAGAATATCAAAAATCTTTCACTAAATTGAGGACACCTAGGATCTTTCATCAAATCATTGTTCATAGGCGTTGGATTTTTACTATTGGATGTCCCCCGGATATCTCCAAATGACCACTTTTAAGCAAAAATTTATGAAAAAAATATACCGGTCAACTGATATTTTGATAAAAGTTAAAATCTTCCGTTAGAGTACTTAATATTGAATAGAATTTTTATTCAAATTTAATTAAAAAAAAGAATGCTCTTATATACCAATTGGATATCATTAAAAACCGTTATAGGAATACCTTCTTCATGATTAGGGATTATATGACCTCGCAGCCAAACGGACACTGACGATCGAAGTCTTTTCCCTTTCTCTCTTTCCCCCAATTTCTCCTTCTGCGTCGTTCTTTCTGAGATTCTGTTCGAGTAGCTTTGTACTACTATACGTATATATATAGAGAGAGAGATAGAGAGAGAGAGGGGGGGAGATCAGAGATGGCGAATCAAGGGGCGAAGAAGTGAAAGGAAGAGAACAGTCGTCGCCTGAAGAACCTCCTTGGCTTCATCATCTTTTCCAATGTTAGATTCTCTCACCTTCTTATCATTTCTCCATATTTCACTCTTCAATTAACTCCTCTTTATCATCAATTTCTTGTTGCTTTTCAATTACTAGAAATATTATGGGTCTATCATGATTGGATTGTTGCTGTAGTCAAAATTTCATCCCCAGCACATTAACAATCAATTTTCAATTTGTTTTTCCCTTTACACTTTCTCAGCTACCAAACGGAGCTCTGTGCTTTTTTAACTAGATTAAAACTGAAATCAGGGATTAATATGATAGTATTTGAGAAGTAAAATCGAAGAACTCTATTCAACCCATATGAAGATTTAATTTTTTTAAGTACTTTTCCTTTGTCCTGCCTTTTTTCAGCAATCAAACAAACCTCCAACTTTGTTTTTCCTTTTCTTTTTCTGCAAGTGAAAAGATACTGAATTACAACCATGGGATGGACTACTAAAGAAAAAATAGTTACAACTTCAAGTCATCAAGACTGAATTTTTAAGTTATGATAGTGCTATGTACATGAATAGTGTCTCACTTCTTGACTTGTTACTTTTTGGTTTCCTTGAACTTTGATGTTTGTCACTCGGCCTTGTTTTTTGAATCTTGATTTTGTTTTGTGACTGTTTTTAGTTAGATTTTTTATTCCATGAAATTGATTTACTGGTTAATTGTGCCTGTTGTCAATATAGTCTATTTTAAAATCAATGCACTTTGTTCTCAATCAAAAGTTGTGCTTATCTAGGTTTTTTATCTTGTGGTGAGGGCGGGGATCTTCCATTCTACTTTCAAGTGGAAGCATTGGGTTGGCTTCTTGTTGACTTTTTTCACCTACGTTATCCCCTATCAACAACTTGCCACGATGGCAAAACCTACATATTCTGAAAGTGGGGAGCTTGAAGATGGTGGGTTTGATTTGACTACTGATGGAGTTTGCGGGAATGTTTCCCTAATGTTATTTCTGCTTTTGTTTCTTCCAGGTTTCATATTTAATCTTCTCTGGTTTGTTGATATTTTGGTTCCATTTTTGTATTTGAACCAAAACCCTTTTGCTTATTTGTAAAATGAAGTTTTTGAAAAGTGCAATGAGTGCAAATCTAAGAATTTGAGTAGTGGAGAAGTTGCAATGCTTAGAATAAAAACGATGGTTGAATTGTGGAAGTGATGTTGATCTATCCTACACGGGCTTCTACAAATGAGGATGGAGGAAGAGAATAGAGAAAAGGGAAACAAGAAAGAGGAATGAGAAGTAATTAAGTAGGAGAACCTACCCACAAAAAAAAAAAAAAAGAATGTAGGAGAAGAGTCCTGGGAGGGAGAAGAGTTGGACGAAGAAAGAGTTTTGAGAGATGAGGGTTAAGAGGAAAAGGAAGGTAAGAGAGGATAAGGGAGAAAGAATGAACAAGAGAGATAAGTGAGGGTAGGGTTATGTAGGTTGAGAGAAGCAGAGCATGCACACGCGTACGTGTGCAAGAACAGGCACACACAAAGAGAGAAGCTCATTCACATTTTTAGTTTTGGTATCTTTGTTCTTTCATATCTTTTTCTTCAAGCTTTAGAAAACCTAAATCTTGAAGGATAATGACGCAATCAAATATACACGGGAATTGGATATTGTTCTAGTAGAAGAAAGGGGCACTCAAATCCATGAGAAAGACATAATCTCAAATACACTAGCAAGAGAAATTTTTGTAATATTATTGATAAATGTTGTCTTTGCCTCAAGGCTTATGTAGATATTTATATCAACATCAACTAGGGAATCTAATATTTATAATTTATTCCATGCCAAATTGCCAGATTTCTAATAAAATAATAATTCCAAAGTACTAAAATTAAAATATAGAAACTCCGAAAATCTTGTCCTACGTCGTACTCTCCCTCTATTTATTTATTTATTTTTTTTAAAAAAACCCCTCATCCTTGAGTTCAATTGTTTGAAGTAATTTGATATGCTTACACTTGTCGCATTAGATTTGTATTCGAGATTAATCTTTTCCTAACTTGATATTTATGTGACAATCTTCCAAAACTAGTACAATATTAATTGGATAAATTACAAATATATCCCTTGAGGTTTGCTTAAAATACAAATTGTTCCCTATGGTTTGTACTACATCTTTTGATGTGTAAATTGATTCTCTTGTGTTTGTCCCATTTGTGGACTTGTAACATAATCTTTTGTTGCATGTGTTATTGAGGCATTTGGGGTGCTAACTGGCGAGACATTAGTTGTTTGAACTACTTTAAAACTTGTTGATTATCGTCATTAGTAAACTTCCTTACTTTCTTCTCAATCAAATAGATTTCAATGACCTCTTTTTTCATTGTGTATTTATCTAGATCTTCGTATTTTTTTAAATTTGGGAATGCGCGTAACACTTTTTTCTTCAATATTAGGCTGATCATGACAATTTTGTTGACCTTCAAAGCTCGATTAACTCAAACACGACGGACCTGCTATTTTTTTTTTCTCGAATAATGTGTGTCCACAATGTATAATTGTTATGAAATTTTGAAAAATATTGGCAAAGTAGCACAAAACAGATACGTGACACAACACAGACACGCTGACATGAAGATTTTAAAAAATGGAAGGCATCGTATGTCTTGGACACGTTAACAATTTATATTTTTATAAATTTATTTTATGTCACATACATCAATAGTTTATTTTTTTGTAATGAAAAAAAATAACATAATACTACTTTAAATTTATAACATGTATATGTATGCCGTATGTATGAGTGCCTTTGTGTAGTTACCTTTTCCAGTCTCTACTGATCAATAAAGATTTGAGTTGGCATTAGTTATTTAATGATACCTAAATTCTTGATATCTCAGTGTTAAATCCGATTAGAGAGCTGTGTCCAGACTTGTCACTGAGGAAACAATCAGGATATTTTGGTTGTCTACTGGTATTATGTGTGTTACTTTTTGGTCATACGACAGTCACTAATGTTGGCAAATGTATTTTTAGTGGCCTGATTTTGAGATCATTGTAAAAGTATTGAGTGAACCCATGTTCTTCCATTCAAAACTGATATATATCATGTCTTGACACTTGAGGACTTCAGTAAATTTTATGTTAGTTTCATTCATATTGTAGATGTATTTTTTGGAATCAGTATAGGCATTTATTTTTGGTGCTATTGCTAATACTAACAAAAATTATAATGTCTTTACTTCCTCAACGATGCTTCCTGAAGAGCATATATGCAGACTTCTTGTTCCTTCTACCTAAAATTAACATTTATGAATATCAATTGTTGGGTGAGGTTGGGGATTATAGAAGCTTTTCACCTTTGATGTTATGTTGAAGTAACACACATGCACTTCAGTTTTGGATGATATTTGCAGTTTGGTGGTATTGTCCATTTTGAGTAAGTTTTAGAGTAAAGAAAATGTTTAATATTTTTCAATCTTACTTGTTCAATCTTACTCCACCTGGAAGTCTAGAGCAGAAAAGAGTTCCTTATTGCAAGTCAGTGGTTTTGTAAGTTATGAATTGATAATAAATGATAATCTTTGTTGTTAAAATAAATTGTTTTTAGTTTTGTGGTCATAACCTTTTGGAAGAATATCACTTCTTGGTTTGAAATGTGAAATTTGTAGTACTTTATGACCCTTTTTTAGGGTTTCCTATTTGATATGAGTTACAAGATTTGTTTACATTGTAGGGAGATATACATCATTCTCTAGTACATGCATATCGTCTTTCATATTTATAAGATGCTTTGTAGCTACAATTGAATTAACATGTATTTTTTGTTTATAAATGTGATAAAAAGAGTTTTACCTAACCAATGGTTTTATATTGCAGATATTTGCATGATGTAATCTACATTACTGGCTTTGTGCAGCTCACGACTATCATCTCTGAAAAATTTTGGTACATTTATTTAGTGGTAAGATCCATTTCCTGAATTGGTTTGCTACCTGCATTAGCTGACTTATTTTATAGTGTTGTCAGGCTTTTGAGTTACTGATTAACAAAAGAGGCCAGCTTGTGGTTGCCTGGCGTTTATATATATATAAGTATGCAAGTTAAGATTTGGGATTCTAATAAGGAAATGCCCACACTATCACAAGGAAAGGATCAACTTATATGTTTTTGCAGCTTATTCATTCAAAGAAAAATCACTAAATTAATGGATTGACTTGAAACCATGTTCTTCATCTACTTAATATGGTGGCTCTTGAGGACTTGGATTCCCTAATGAGCTACCTCATCTTACCACTAAATGAAGAGTAATGCTAGGGATCATTAAAAAAAACCATGAAGATCATGAAAAATTTTCCACCCTTAGATTACACATAATAAAACACACTAATCAAAGGATGAAAAATCTTCATGAAGCATTTGATGATATTTTTTTCATGATTCCTAGTATTATTCCTAAATGAATTTGTTATTATTTGTACCACTGTTTTTGTTTTTATTGTTACTATTCAATATTATGTATTGTATTGCACTGCTTGTGTGAGGACCTTGCTATGCTTGCTTCTTGTGTTTCCATCATTTTTATTTGTTGCCATTGAAATTTTGAGAGGGTTTTTGATGAATACATCTAACTGCAAGATGGTGATGAATAACTGCATCTAGAAACATTTTGGGACATTGTAAGGCATATGATAATTAAAATTCTCATTCATTCAAGAATTTGGCTTGAAAGGGTTTAGGCTAGCACACAAGGTTTGATTTTGGAAGTCTGCCAAGCTTTTTGAATAATTTGTTTTGTTCCCTAGCTCTTTGAAGGTCACAATCTCAAGAAGAGATTGGTTAGCATGTGATTACCAGTTGAGGTGGTCATAGGTACAAAAGTGCATGATGAAGTCTGCATCAGTATGAAATTAGAGAAAGGTTGCACTACTTTCAGTGAAACTGTCATGTGTGGTGAAAAGAATAAAAAATAATTAGGATTTATTACATTGCTGGAATGATCGTTTGACCAAATAAAGTGACGGAGAACATTATTATTGAATGTGTTTCCTTTTAAACAGATGTTGCTTAGACCTGTACAATGCGTAAGTTAATCTTTTTTTGGAGTCTACACATGATATATTTGAAAGATTTTACATTGACTTGATATTTACATTATAAATTGACTAGGTTGTTGCTTTTATAGTGAGGATTATTTAGGTCTGTATTGGTGAAAGAACCCAATATTGTTGAAGTGAATACCTAAACCAGATTCTCTTCTGCTTTTGCTTTCCAGATACCAGCGTTTGCAACATACAAACTCCTTGGTTTTGTGAAAGGATTTATGTCACTTGGTTCAGAGGTATTCTTTCCACCAGATATATGTTATATCTTTGTAAGCAATACAAAGCATCTGTAAGAGTTGGTGTGATAAGTTGTTCTCACTAGTATGGAAATAATGTTCAATAGGGACCTGAAGAGGATGAAAAGTCGAGAAAAAAGAGAGAGAAGATGGAGAGGAAAGTTTCAAGACCCAAATTTGCACGGACAAGAAATTGATTGTGCTCTTCTGAAATGATAGACTAGCTCTTGGTTAGATCTTAATGTCTCTCTTGAGTATGACAGACTGCTTTGTTATCTCCAAGTAATGTGAAATCAAGTTCGGCTGTCTGGTTTTGGATGGGAAGAACTTTAATGTGCTTGTCATTTTGGATGAAAGGAACTTTATGTTCTTGTCATGGATGCGTATTCTCGATCTAATGTGTTTTCATTGTCATCTTTAAGTATTTTTATTGATGTACTTAATTTTCCTGAACTAAATGAATCTTTTTTGGTTTATCCTAATGTCGTGTTTGGTCTCAGAATTATGGAGAGATTTATTGATAGAAATAAAAAGGATTTGTTGAAAAATGATAACATTTTTAATCTTTCCATGATTTTTTTCCCTAGAAATTTAAAATCTGAAAACCCAAAATGAAAAGGGAAGAATGAAAACACACGAAATTGCACCTCAACATCATATGAGGAATTCTGATTCCTATTTTGAGGAAGTTATGAAATCAAACTCTATATGTCATTCAACGGCTAACCAGAAGCACAAAACAAATAGTGGATGATCACTAAAATCACACATTTAAAATTTTATTCAAAAATATCAATGCATGGTCTAGTTTTAATCTATGCATGAGTGTCATGATACATTATTTTGAATCTCAACCCTTCACTTTTAAAAGGAATGGGTGCCCTGTAAGTATTTCTGAATGATTTGTATATTCAACTTGTACATGTTACAAACTAGTCATCAGTTTATATAGCCCTAAGCTATGGCTGAACAAGGAAAGATTAAAAAAGGAAATGCGCCTATATGCCTAATTTACACCTAATTCCTAATATATACAATGCCATATATACGCACAATGCACGATATACTTTCACACCCCCACTCAAACTCAAAGTGTTTTAGCAGAAAACACGAAGAGTTTGCTAAGAAGAAATTGAAACCGAGCGGTAGTGTGAGCCTTGGTGAAGAAGTCTGCAAATTGCAAAGCCGAGGAGACGAAAGGAAGTGAGATAGAGCCAGACTGCAGATGTTGTCGGACAAAATGACAATCAATCTCAATGTGTTTCGTCCGTTCATGGAAGACAATATTGTGGGCAATCTGAATAACACTGCGGTTGTCACAATAGAGACATGTCGAAGAAAACTGTGGGACATCTAAATCAGAGAGAAGATAGCGAAGCCAAACAAGCTTAGTAGTAGCATGAGCCATAGTATGGTACTCAGCTTCAGCAGTAGAGCGAGTAACAACAGTTTGTTTCTTGCTTTTCCAAGAGAGCAAGGAATCGCCAAGAAACATACAAAAAGTAGAGGTGGACTTGCGATCATTAACATTACCAGCCCAATTAGAATCAGCATAGGCCACCAACTCTAAAGAGGAAGTAGAGGACAACAGTAAGCCCTGAAAGATAGTTCCTCGGAGATAGCGTAGAATCCGAATCAAGGCAGCCCAATGTGGAGAGCGAGGAGCAGAAACAAACTGGTTAACCACATGCACAACATAGGCAAGATCAGGACTGTCAGATAAACTAAGCAACCCACAAGCTCGCGATATAAAGTGGGATCATCCAGTGGGACACCATCAGTAGAGTTGAGCTTCACATTAAGCTCAGTAGGTGTATCAGAAACCTTAGTATCCGTAAGACCAGCACGGTGAATGACCTCATTAGCATACTTAGCCTGAGACAGAAAATAGCCTTTTGGAGAATAAGCAACTTCAATACCAAGAAAATACCGCAAAGGACCAAGATCCTTCATCTCAAAAGTGCGGAAGAGATGTTGCTTGACCTCAAAGATAGCAGAAGAGTCAGAGCCAGTGATGATCATATCATCTACATACAGTAATAAGGCAACAAATCCGACTGAGGTGTGGAGAAGAAATAAAGCAGAGTCTTGGGCACAAGGATGAAACCCAATCTCAGTAACTTAAAAGGCTCATCAACAAACCATCAAAAAATAAAATAAAATATTCTAACAAGCCATAATCAATAAAATTCATGTTGTATTTGTATAATGTTCCATACATGTAACCCATGAGCAAATTGCTAGTCTATATATATATATATATATATGAAAAAATAAACAGAAAACAGAGAAATTTTCAGGGTCTTTGGTTTGTCTAATCAGAGTGTAATTCATTTTGGATCAATCAAGACAAAGATTTTTCTTAATTACTGAATTGGAATTATCTTAAGAAACATTATGATTTATGAAAGCCTAGTAATAATCTGTATAACAATATTTGTATTCTTTTCGAGTTTTGGCTCTGAGGGCAACTAGGGTCTAACAAGTAAAAAACATTCATAAAAATTTGGAAAAACTACATGAGACTACAATTCTATGAAGCTCCAAGATATACAAATTCTTTTCCTCAAACCAAAATACCATCGTCTGGCTTACTGTAAGCATATCCACCATCTGTTTCATCTAGTAAATAGAGATATAAATCTCCTTAATTTGACTGACCAAATGGCCTTTGATAGAGTCGAGTGGAGAAGAAGGATTCATATAGCTGACCCCATTTGATGGGACTTAAGGTTTGGTTTAGTTTGGTTTATTTTCTTCTGATTGGCTATATATATTCAACACAAGAAGTTTTGAAAGGTCATTGATAAGAATTCAAAAATTGACAGACAATTGTGGTAGAAGATATTAATGCCACAAGGAACCCATTATTGAAATCAATGGAATTGAGAAGTTAATGTTCTTGTTAAAAAAAAATAAAAATAAATAGTAGATTTGAAACTAGAATTTCACTGATGAAGTCCATTGGAAAGAGAGAGTTCTAAGTTTTTTGCTTTTACTGTATATTCTAGAAGGGATGGGTGTTTAGAGAGGCTAGTTGGAATTTGAGGATTGCTTGTTACAACATCCTAATGGAAGAAATGTGGTAGTGCAAGATTAGGCTCTCTTGCTTCCTTTTGTGCTAACAATATAGATATAGATACTATGTGTATATTCCTTACTGGGGGTAGCAAGGCCTATCTTGTAGAACAATTACTTCTGAAATGCATCAAACCCATGTTTTATGCCATGGTAATGTATAAAAATACTTGCACAGATACATGTCGCCATGAATGTGCATCATACAATATTTTAGCCGCTTGAAGAAAATACAAACTGATAGCTATGGCATGGTGCATACCTAGGGATGTTTGAGGAAAAAAAGAAAAAAAAATGGTTTTTTTATTTAAACCGATGGAATCAAATTATGATGGTAGTTTGGCCACCTTACTTGTGCCACACTTGGTACTTATTGCCCTATCATTTACGATGTAGTCATGCAGTCATTTCCCCATTTCTTGTCACTCTTCTTCCTTGCAAGATACAGATTTCACAGGAAACACTTGCTATCGTTCTAGTATACTGTTCTGTTTGAGGATACTCCAACAAATAATATTGATATCATATTTTTTTTACCATCTCATGTGTCAATACTTCATTGGTTTAATGAGGTCCACCACTCATCTTTGTTATCAATGCAGTGGTGACACATGACATGGTAAATAAAATATGGTAAGAAAAAGTGGTCATTATAATGTTATTGCAGAAGTATCCTCAAACAAAACAATTATTTGTTTATAATGTAGTAGTGACGCATGAGATGATAAACAGAATATGGTCAGAAAATATGGTAATTATAGCATTATTGTACTTCTTCACAGCTAACATAGATTTCATTTTACTTGGAGGCAGAGTTGTAAGATGAAGAAATCTAGTCTAGTTGCTTGAGATCATTGATACATAAATGAGCTGAGCTAAGTTCCACTGTGAAGTTGATTGATTTTTTAGTAAAGCTCGAATATAACTTGATTAGTTTTTGGCAATTGGAGTTTTATGTGAAACAATAGAACCAGTTCAATTGAGAGCCATACAATTGTGCTGAATATTGAATTGGTTTGCAAGTGTGAATGAATTTTATGTCTGTTTTTCTTTATCCAAAGAAACCATGCCGTCGACTTCAATCCAAAAAGCCCTATGTGGGATACTTCTTCCTTTTCTTTTCTACTTTTTCCCCCTTTTTCAAAGATGCTCGTGAACTTGTTAAAGTGTTTGGGTTCAAGATAAACCATTTTGCAAACTTCTATAAAAAATTTTTTTTAAAAAAAGTCCATGCTACAGGATAAACTAAGCTACTGCTGCATTCAAGAAATTATTGAACCAAGCTCAACAATTTATTTCTTGACCTGCCTACAAACCTTCTCCCTGCTTGTTCACAACCCTAGTCAGCCTGTCTGGATTTGACAATTGCCATGTCAAAACGTGGGCATGCAAGAAGGCACTTGTGAAAGATGGTCATTGTTTCGAAGCAATAGAACTTGTTATGCCACCAGGGGAAGCTTTCTATAATAAATTTAAAAGTTGAGGCAAGAGATCTTTAATTTGAAATTCTCATTTTTATATTGATTGCAATGATTTTCTAACTTTTGCATTTTTTTATTTTTATTTTTATTTTATTGGATGTAAAGTAGGAATGCCCACCTGGACGTTTCCAAACTCAGTTAAGAACGGTGATGACATTTAAGCATGCTTGTTTACAAGTATACATTTACAGGTCTATGCTGCTTTATTTTATTTATTTGTTTGTTTATTTTTGCTGATAAGTATATCTACAGGTCTATGCTTGGGAATCTGATTGGACTACTGATTTGTTTGTTGATATTTCTTGATAAATAGATGTTTAAATCATGGAATTATTGTTCTTCTTTCGATCCTATTTCATAGATAATGATTAAACCATGAGTTTTTAATATTTGAGATGTTTGCTTACCTTTTTTGATCTTGATATATGTCTTTTCAATGGATTGTGGTTAGTGAAGCAGCTGGTCTATCGTGCATTGTTCTGTGTAGCATTATAAGGTTAAACTTATGAATCTTTTCTTTTCTTGTTTGTGAAGCAGAAAGCGTTGGTTGAAGCAAATGATGCAAAATTGGATGGTAATAGACTATTTGGAGATGGGCAGTATGAAGAGGCATTGGTGCGGTATGAAGTTGCTTTACAAGTTGCACCAGAGATGCCCTCATCTGTTGAAATACGTTCAATATGCCATGCAAACTGTGCAATATGTTTCTTCAAACTAGTATGTTCTCTGGTCATGGATAATCATTATGCTATGGATTATTTTACAAAATCAATTTTTCAATTGAGTTTTCTGTTTTAGATATGTAGGATACCGCCTCTAGGTACTGCTAATGAGTATGTTAGACACCTGACATAATGCAATAGTCACATATTTTTATTTTTACTTCAGAATAACCTTTTTCTTCTTTAAGAAGGAAACAATAAATAGTTTTTAGTCAAAGGCAAAGGAAGGATGAAAAGACAAAGAGTAACATTTTTCTTTTCTCTCTCTCTTCTTTCTTTCTTTCTTTCTTTCTTTCTTTCTTTCTTTCTTTTAATTTTAAATAAGTAAAAAAAGGTAAACAGGGACATTGAATTTTTCAATCTGAATCCTGAAGGAAAGGAAAGAGATCAATCTCCACCACCTTGAAAATACCTAATAATCCTAGAAACACCAGCAATTGGAGAAAATGGATCAACAATATTCTAACTCAATTATGAGGGCTTGTCAGTGGTGGTTTCTTTAATGTCCAACGCCCCTTTTGACCCTGTAGAGTTCAAATTTGATGTTTGTTATTGTGGAAGTTTGGATCAACTCGGTATTGGTGTCTTCTAATGGACAAATGATTATATTCTTCTTAAAATTCAATGAGGAAGCTGATAAAGTTGAAGAGCAATTCGGTTTGCTTGAAGAAGATAAAAACGCTGAGCTGTGCTAAGATGTTTAAAATTAGCCTAGCTCATCGGGGTTGCTAAATGCTAACAGCTGTTTTTCTAGCCTAAAAAGCCTACCTTGCGTGAAAATAGTTGAATTTTGTAATTAAGGCAATAAGGTTGAATATGGAGAGAAAATAGAGACAGGAAAGAGAAAAGAAAGAACACAAAGTTTTAACATGGTTCGGTCAAAATTGGCCTACATCCACACACAAAGCCCTACGAGGATACATCTTTCATTCACTCGACTTTAATACTCTTGTTTACATGATACACCATATGTATAGAGTGGGAGATACAATCAAATCCCTTTAATTAAGGAATTGAAATAAATCAAAGATACTAAAAATCATAGTAAGCACAAACATGGGATCTCTATGTATTCTGATATCTTCCTTATCTTCTGATATCTTTGACAATATAATTTTTTTCTCCAATAAAAATGGCATTATATGTTTACAATAGTTATCCTTTGAATTGTTTGTGTTGTTCCTTTAAATTCTGGGGCTGAAACTTTGTTTCCCATATTTTATTTTTTTTAATTTTTTTTTCTTTTTTTTTAAAGGGAGAAAAGAAACTGTTTTTAATTCTTTCAAATCCATATCTGTTGCAATTGCTGTTTCTTCTATTATTGCTTTCTTTTGTTTGTTCAGTCCAGGTTGTTTGTCAGGGCATTTGTTGGTTTTCTGTCTAAGATTGTTTCTAATTTTTTTGGGTGTGTGACTTATCTCGGGAAAAAATTGAGGACACAATAAAGGAATGCACAAAAGCATTAGAACTGAATCCTAATTATGTGAAAGCTCTACGTAGAAGAGGAGAGGCTCATGAAAAACTTCAACACTTTGAAGAGGCCATTGCTGGTAAATTTAAGTTCAATACTTGTGCACTATTATCAATATTTAAATTTTAAATGATAGCTACCTGCAGGTTGCCTTCACTTTAAATCTGACATTTACAGTGTCATTCTCTCTCTCTCTCTCTCTCACACACACACACACACTGAATAACTAACTACACATGCTTGCTATAGTGACAGAATATTGGAGCCATTTTCTTATATTCCTATTCCTTGGTATTTCTTTTTTACCATTTCATTTTATGTTTTTCCCCCCTTATTGTCCTACAGATATGAAGAAAATCTTCGAACTGGATCAATCAGATGTCCAAGCTAGGAGAACCATTCAACGTTTGGAGCCATTAGCTGCAGAAAAACGTGAAAGATGAAACAAGAGATGATTGGTGAGTTCAAAAAATAATTTGTGTAGTAGGTTTTTCATTTTTGCTTCTCATGTTCATGTGCTTTGATTGATAGAGTCTGTTAGTTCTTTTGTTTTTTCCTCCCTATTTCCTCTTCCTGATTTTAGAAAAACAACTGCTGGAACTAATAGAAGTAAGATGAATTCCTTCATGGAACAGAAGGGCAGGTCAAAATGGATTAGAATCATACCATCCAAACTAACATGAGCTCCTTTTCGCTTTTTAAGTTGGCTATCTATCCTCCGTGGGCTTAGCTCTGTTAATAAGCAAATGAAACAAAGTTTTCTTCTAAAAGTCTAACAAGCACGAACGCTACTAAGAAGGTGGTGTATCCGTGTCGGACATTGTTGATATTCATTGGACACTTCCCGACACATGTCAAACACACGTCAAAGCATGTACCATTATTTTTTGTTTTTTATATTTGACCCGAACACATTTCGGCCAATTTGGGGACACACTTGTCCACTTGAGCACACATGAAACACATTACAAGTATGAACAAAAATAACTTACAATTCAATGATAAAAGAAAAACTCCGTAGATTTATGATAAATAGTGTTACGTTGTATTTTTTTCTTAATTATCTTTGAATGAAATATATATATATATATATATGAAACTATATATTTTGTGTGCGTCCCTCACATGTCATGTCCTACATTGTTTAAACGTTGTTATGCCCGTGCCATGTGCTTGTGTTCGTATCCATGTGTCTATGTTCGTGCTTATTGGCTTGGTTCCAATATTAATGAAATAGGAGCTTTCAAATCCCATCGTTCTTTTAAAAGAAGGAAAAATGTTATGTATTATTGCATAGGCAAGATGAATATGTGCAGATGGGAGTATATCGTTTGCAAAGTCCTCTTGGTAGTATAGTAGACACTTAAATGTTGTGAGACCTCTAGAGGTGGATGGTAAGAACTAAGGCGCTCATAAAGGGATCAAGAGATCAAGTGGCAAGGGATCTGTGCTCAGTATGACATGCTGGCAAGGGATCAAATGGCTCACCCTCCCTAGGTTTACAATTCGGAGGTAGAAGACTACTATTGGTAGTGGCTCCAAAATTCTCAGAGGTTGCAGAGGTAGTTGAGCATGCTCCAAGTATAGGCAAGTATGTAGTGCACAACATGTCCTTGTCTACACTTGGAGAATGTCTTCTAGTGAAGATCTTTGTCTTTGTAATGCTGGTGTGGATGCTCAACTCTAGCCGCCAAGCCACATATCATTGGAGGTCTTGTGTATGGGGTCAATCGAGCACCCCATGGTTGTGTCACCAACGTTGAGGGGTTTCCTTGACCCTACCCCAACTTAGACTTCCGTGAGATCATTTGTGTGTCTTTTGGAGCAAACATTGGAGATAAGGGACTGAGGCATAGAAGAGACATGCTCGGGAAGAATGACCGAGTTAGGGGTATTGAGTGTGTCTTAATGTGCAGGGGAAGTGGCGCACTAGAGAGGAAGTTAGCTCAGCCAACCCGAGGGGGTGCCTTTAGCTTGTCTAGGCAAGTGGACAAGTTCTTCTGGATAATTGTCACTGAGTGTTTAGGCTTGAGGTATGTTAACCTCAGCAAGCGCGGCTTGACTCCGGAGGGAGAGAGCATGTGGACATATGTGATTGGTCTAGGTATCACTTTACAAGGCTGACATGAGGGTTTCTAGTTTGTGGAGATGATGATATGACAGTGGCATACTGTTGACATAACGTGCAACCTTGGAGACACATGTACCACAATAGCATGGCTAGCTCTTTTATAACACTACTTTAGAAGGCTGCTAAAGTGAGTGAGTAAATATGCGTGATCACTTTTGCTTCATAATCTGCATAGGCCATGAAGCGGGGAGTTGGGATCAAACCAAGTGAAGTAGGTTGCCAGGCCAGTGTCGCAGAGGTGATGATTTTCCACACAGAAATGATTAACATTTGCCAAACTAATAAAATATTGAGTAAATTACATTGACACCCCTTGAGGTTTGGTTCAATTATTACCCACCCCTGACGTTTTGAAAATTACATTTCCACCCCCTATAGTTAATAGTCTTATTTCAAAAACCCCATTCCTTATATAAAAGGTAATAACTCCTAGTAGAAAAACGGAAGAAATTACATCAAAAAAAAAAAAAAAAGTAGAGGAAAGGGAAAAAAAAAGAGAAAGTAAAGCAAAGCCAAGCAAAAAAAGACAGGGTATATGAGTTCAATGTTGTCATTCCGTCTAAATAATTACAATGACAAGGGGGTTAGTGTAATTTCTCAAACGTTAGGGGGTGTAAGTGTAATTTACCCTAAAATATTAAAAAAACAACACTGCCTTCCTGTTCTCCAAAATAATTCTCAAACTGATGCTCTTGTTTACTTTCAACACGTATTCTCTTGCTGAAGTTCTCCTTAAAACTTATGGGCTATTATTTGCATCACTTTCTCATCTTCACATGATTGCAAGAACGAAAAGGAACGAACAGATAATTCTGATGTTTCAAACAAAAACTGGTATTCGTAAGTCTATTTTCTGAAAACAGTTTTGAGAATGACAAACCAAACAAAAATGCTTTGATCCTCACTCACCTTTTTTATTGTCCTGGAAAATGATGAAATGACTTTGTCAATAATGTGCTCCAAATCATTTCACCCTTCTGTTTTTCCAGCATGCTTGTATCTTGCACATAGAAGACCTCATACTCTTTTCGGTTAAGTACTTGTAAGTTTTGGTCTCCAAGGTTGCATGCACTTACCACAATTGCATTTTCAAATTTTGTACTTTTCTCTAATTAAGTACTCTGGTGTTTTGATGTCTGTTAAAAAACACACACAATGTTTGCCTTCTCCTTGGGAAAAATATATCTTAATTATTTGCTCATGAGCCATTTGGAATCATTGATAGGTTCAAGAATATTTTCTTTTGGTGTTTTCTTTTTCTTTTCCGTGTAGCTGGAGATGAAGTTTTCACTATAATTTGATGATGCTACCCTTACAAACTTGTGTATGATAGAATGGTACTGTTATATTCCATTCTACACACATTTATAGTCAATGTTAAAAGTTAAGCTTGGGCAAGTCTTTACAGCTTCTGGTTTTTTGTTTCACTGTTTATTATTTTTGCTCGGGTTGGGAACTGCAAGTCTTTGATGAAGACAACATTTTGCTCCTCCACATGACATTTTGCAATTCTACAGTTTCTCTTTATCTAAAAAAGCTAACTTACGAAGTTTTATGTGGAGCAGATGAGTTGAAAGAAATGGGAAACTCTGTTTTGGGCCGGTTTGGGATGAGCATCGACAACGTCAAAGCCATTCAAGATCCAAATACTGGTTCCTATTCGATTTCGTTCCAACGCTAGTTATGGTCTGTTTGTGTTCATCTCAATACACGCTTGTCATTGGAAGAAACACTACAAGGAATGTGGAGGTGTTTGACATGATGATACAAATATGCAGTGCTTGTATTTGCAGGAATTTAGTTAAAACTGCAGATGCATTTTAGGGTTCCACTATAGTGACCCCGGTCTTTTCCCATTTGATTATTGTATCCGGACTGTTCCGTAGATTTTGTCATTGTATAATTGTTGTTGTTGTTCCTTATTTTTCTCATTTGGAATTATAGGATGTGTTGGGCAGGTTTGTTCAGGTTGGTTGTGTTTAGAAACCAAGTGTTGCTGTCCAGAATTTTGGTTATTCGCTCGAGCGAGGAGTTTGTCGCTCGAGCGAGATGTTGTACTGTTTATTATTTTTGCTCGGGTTGGGAACTGCAAGTCTTTGATGAAGACAACATTTTGCTCCTCCACATGACATTTTGCAATTCTACAGTTTCTCTTTATCTAAAAAAGCTAACTTACGAAGTTTTATGTGGAGCAGATGAGTTGAAAGAAATGGGAAACTCTGTTTTGGGCCGGTTTGGGATGAGCATCGACAACTTCAAAGCCGTTCAAGATCCAAATACTGGTTCCTATTCGATTTCGTTCCAACGCTAGTTATGGTCTGTTTGTGTTCATCTCAATACATGCTTGCCATTGGAAGAAACACTACAAGGAATGTGGAGGTGTTTGACATGATGATACAAATATGCAGTGCTTGTATTTGCAGGAATTTAGTTAAAACTGCAGATGCATTTTAGGGTTCCACACTTCAATGTTTACATGGCGTGGTGTTTTAAGGTGGATTAACAAAAACTCCTCATTATTTTTTGATTGGTTGCAAGTATTTATATGATGAAATGGCAAATATACTCTTCACGTATAATTGTTTTTGATTGGTCAAGTATTTCGAATTGGCTTGATAACAACACCATTCAAATTATTTTTGATAATATTGACGAAAGTGAAACTTATACACTTGACCAAAAAAAAAAAAAAAAAAATTACTAATTGATCTTAATAGTTGGATTTAATTTTTGCCAAGTACTTTCATTTGCAAACATATTATTTTAGTAATTTTTTGACTTTAAGTAGAGAGAGTGATGTGAAAATTTATAGTGAATTTTTAGCTTTTTGGTTAAAATATTTCTCCAGACGTGGAAGTCCCAGTAAAATCGTCGTTAACAATAATTTTTTGTAACGATGATTTGCATGACTATAAAAATTAACAATTAATGATTTTTTTTATCGCGATTTTTATAAATTGTCGTTAAAATTTACAATTAGTGATGTTTTTTTATGGCGAATTTTTTAAACTGTTGTCAAAATTTATAATTAGTGACATTTTTTACACTGTCATTAAAAATTAACAATTAGTGACTTTTAATAGTGTTTAATGGCACTATTCATTAAACACTATTAAAAGTCACTAATTGTTAATTTTTAAGTCTCCCAAAAATTAACACCAATGCTACAAATCCCAAAAAAAATACGATAAATTACTAGAAGATTCTAATAGTTAGATTTAATTCACATTAAGTCTTATCAATTCATCTTTGAAAATTGGTCCTAACAGAATCTTTGCTAAAAATTGATAATTAGTTACAATTTTTGTGATGTTTTTCTAAATCTGTCATTAAAAATTGACAATTATCGACACTTTTCTAAATCTGTTACCAAAAACTAACAATTAGCAATGTTATCCCTGTGATGAATTTTTTAAACAATTGCTAAAAACTAACAATTAATGACTTTTTTTTATTTATTTATAAAGATAGCACTAATTATTGCAGGACCTATTGAACAATAAATTCACCGATTAAAATCTGCACATAAAGTCCCCCCCAAAAAAAAAGAGAAATCTTCTCTCAAGTTTTAGATGGCTCTCCTACAGAAACTTTTGGTGTTTTAATTTTCATCTGATTGAATACTCATGGTTGGTTTTTTGGACCAAAGTGTTTGTCACTTTTTTTTTTTTTTTTTTTGTTTTTTGTATGACCATGTATTTCCTTTTCAAATTCACTCTCAAAACTTTTATTAACCCTTCAGAGCCTTCTCTTGCCCAACCTTCATCTCCTCTATTACCTCTCTCTGTTTCATTCAACGTTCCTATCATTCGCATACACTCAAACATCACTCTATTTGGTTGAGTTTTTATTAAAAAAATTATAATAAATATAATAATTTAAATTTAAGAACTCGTTTGGTAAAGATATGAAAAAATTCAAAGACACTTCCATATTTTTGAGGTAGAAATATTTTTGAAGATTCAAAATTATATTTTTTAGTATTCATATCAAACTTGTTTTTAATTATGTAATATATAACAACCAACTAGCATTTTTTTTCATCTAAAATTAAATGGTACTTCATTTTGAAAGTAAATTGAGAAAAATTACAAACGTTAAAGAGTCAAAGTGACAAAACTAAAAAAAAACTTTAAAAGCCAAACACAGAAAATGGTGAAACTCAAAGGGCCAAAGCATAATTTATCTTTTTTATTACCACAAGCCATTTTTTGTTCAAAATTAGATAGATATTTGTTTTGGGAGTAAATTGGGAAAAATTACTAACATTAAGGACTAAAGTAAAAAATAAAATAAAACCTTGAACCTCAAAGGACAAAGTGTAATATACCCTTTATAACAGTTAACAACCCACTGCTCACAGCTAGTCCACGGTTATCATCCATTGATTTTTGCTTGGACAGTGAGTGTCATTGATGAAACAACTTGAACATCTCTTCTTTCTTTCTTCTTTTTTATTTTAATTTTTTTTGTTTTAATTAATTAATTATTTTTTGAGGAATTATATGAATATATGAATATCCGGTTTTTAACAACCCACTGCTCACAGCTAGTCCACGGTTATCATCCATTGATTTTTGCTTGGACAGTGAGTGTCATTGATGAAACAACTTGAACATCTCTTCTTTCTTTCTTCTTTTTTATTTTAATTTTTTTTGTTTTAATTAATTAATTATTTTTTGAGGAATTAACTTGTATTACATTTATTCAACAAACAAAATTATTAGAGCTTCAATTATATGAATATCCGGTTTGCCGCCAAAACCACTGAACCTCAAGCCATGTAACATACAATCTTACCGACAACAATGGTCTTACCGGTATTGGAACAATATTTAAGTTCCCTCTATATCATACTTGCTCATAAGGTGTTCTCATCGATCACAACATCGCTATCTTCATGCAAGAGCTGCTTCTCAACTTAGCATGGCAGAATGCTGCTCAAAGTATTCTTTGCTATTCATCTCTGTCAATCTGCAATATATAATAGTTACCATCATTAGCCAGAATGACAATATATGTGCATCTACTATCCCGATTTGACTACTCTTACAAACCCCAAAACTTCTTTTTTTCTTTCTTTTTTTGGGATCAGGAACTGAAAACAGTTTTTGAAAACAATACTAAATGGGCTCAAAGTAACCTATGTCCATTTTGTCTTTGCTATATTCGAAGTAGGAATTAAACCGACGCTTAAGCAGTTAATGAATGAATCTTTATTGGTCATTCTAAGTGAGGCAGATAAAAATAAAAGAAGGATACAACAACAGAAAATTGAAATAAACCGGATTTTCCAAATGCAGGCCAATGTTCAAGGGCTCTCTGAATACATGGGGCAAATTCATTTTCTTCCAACTAAAAACTAGGAATCTATTTCAGATATGAGAAAGCAGAGAGTTTTCCAACTATCTCCCAAATCTAAAGCTAGTTCCTTTTTAGAACTTTCTTACGTCTATCTCTTGAATAGCGTGCTCTCGATAACTACAGAGCTACTGGCTTAGGGTTCTGAAGTTTAGAAAGTAAGTTTCAAAATAATTATATTTCTTTTGAGCACATGTTTTGTTGCAAGAACATTTAAGAAGAACATAGTCATATTGTTAAAAACCTTTTTTTTTTTTTTTTTGAACTATTGTTAAAAATCTTGTTAGATAAACAATTTCATCTAATTTTTAACTGTTGTATCAAGCATTTCACCAATCAACCATCTTTTATGTCCTCCGACCCCAAATGAAGTAAATTGTTTTAAGAAATACGACCCACTTTGCTGCGCTTAAATGATATGTAGGCATGCTTCACCACTCCAAACTTAGAGAACATAATAAACATACCTTTAGGATCCATATCATACGGGAGGTTGTCAACAAAAATGGAAAACAGCTTCAAGCCTGGTCCACTTCGTCTAGGACCAGCAGCTCTCCCTCTATAAAACACCGGTTGCCAACCCCCTTCAAATCTCTCGCCAGCAGCTCTTCCAGCTTGCCCCTCCATTCGATTTTTGTTTATCTGTTATTCTAGATTTTTCTTATTTTTATGAAGTAAATTGTTTTAAGAAATACAACTGCATTAAATGTATCAAAATTTCTGTTGGGGAGACAAAATAAATGGCTCAAAGTAAAGGCTATAGAACGGCCACAAGAAGGAATTCTATCTATATAAAAGTTTATACGCTATATCCAAAAAGAAAAAAAATGTTGCAGAACATCATACCTACTAATAGTGTCATCTTTTGCAAAGCCCAACTCATTGTCCACGCAAAGATCCAAATCATCATTTTTCCTCGATCTTAAAGAACTTATGGGAGCCATTTGTTGAGCATCAGAGATTGTCACAATCTTCTCAAAAAGTTCAACAGGAGTACCCTCAGCTGTACACATCAATCTGGCTTTGTTCTCATACATCACCTGTAAATATAAAAACACAGAAGCCAGTTGGAGATAAAAATATGCTTTTAACATTATAATATTCTGATTTTATGCTATGTCCCTTCCAAGAGGTGTAAGGTTTTGTGGAGTTCTAGGGCACAAATGGAACCCAAGTAACAAGTATTTATGTCTAAAGTATTAAACTCATAAATAATCAAACAATTTGGAAGAAAGGAGACTAACATCAACTAGAATGACAAACTGATATGCTGCTGTCCTATTGTGGAGTCCGAAAATTGGTACACCATCCAAAGCCAGCGTATGAAACCTCTCTGCCAGAAAGGAATACCATTGGATAATAATTTATTGTGACAGGAAAAAAAAAAAAGCATAATAACTGATAGGTACAGAGATTTTGCAATGAATGTAAAATCGCTTAAGTTTAGAAAGACCATCATG